GCATAGGTACCTAGTAACATTCTCAATTCTTTAAGATGCTATTTATTAAAAATCAGTTCTCCCCACACACACAGTCACTCTCTCTCAAACTCTCTCCCTCTTTATCTCTATTCACAGCTAATAAGCATAATTACCTTTTTAAAAAAATAAAACCGACTTCAAATGCGTGAACACAAAAAAAACTAAAAATTAAAAATATTGCGTATAAAAAAGTTCATCCCCAATTTTCCACCCTTAGGGGTGAAATATTTTCTTCAAATTCGCATGAAACCACCCTTTTGATAATACCTATTCAACAAAAAAATAATCGTTCAAATTGATTTATAATCGGCGGAGATATTGCGTATAAAAAAGTTCATCCCCAATTTTCCACCCTTGGGGGTTGTTTTTTCTATTATTAAATTTAAATGGGACCACCCTTGAGGTATTACCTATACGCCGAAAAAAGATTTGTTCAAATCGGTTCATAATTGGCGGAGTTATCGCGTAACAAACATAGAAAAAAAAAAAAACATACGGGTCGAATTGAGAACCTCCTCCTTTTTTGAAGTCGGTTGAAAATAGGAAAATACCAATGTCCTGGATTGACGAAATTAAACAAATCAACTATAATCAAAACATATTTTTATTTTCTGTTAAAAACATTGATTTATATTTTAACTAATAATTTTCAGTCTTCATAATTTATAACCATCTTTGACTACATAAATACAACCATGATAACTAAACACTAACTAATGCAGTTCATTTGGTGTCTTTCAGAGGCTCACATCAAGCTGAATTATGTGGCATATTTGTTGTAATAGGTGGCCTTAAACATATAATTAGTTATAGTTCCAAAATACTGGACTGTCCTGTCGATGACATTGACAGTGGGGCGCCACCGTCAATACCGGATCGCTGGTTCAGATTTTTGCCATGTTGGAAACCATATAGTTGAACGATGGTAGCGCCTCCCTGTCATTGAGTTTGGCGGGACAGTTCAGCGTGGGTCATCTATAATAAGGTTTTGATGCCAGCATCTTGTCATGATGAATAAAATTGACTTGAAGATCAAGCACATTTTTTAAAGGAATATATGTATTTAAAATTATTTGTGACTACAGCAAGTGACTGAAAATTTTGAATTTTACTAGTCTCTAAACTTCCAAAGTACGCCTTGTAATAATTGTCTAATCTAAAACCACACACCGTATAGCGCTTTACACACACAGAGAGTCAAGTCTCAATGATTAATATTCGCACTAGGAACCAATTAAACTAACAAACCAATTAACAATAATGTATGGATGCAGTTTGCATCTAATGACCGAATAATACCCATAATATTTACCTTCAAACATCACAGAAACAAATCACCAAACGTTTAGTTTTAAAAAAGCTATCCGTGTATAATTTAACATTGCCACGATTATTTTTATACAATTTTAAAGCATAATAGAATACCAAACACCGCTTGGCCGCGATTATACTCGTACAGGGTGTCGCAAAATCCCAAATACTAGGCTTGTTCGACTAGCTCCATCGTCAGGCTGAGTTGCTTAATTATGGGACAACATGTATAATGGCACTACAGTCTTCTCTCGCAAATGTGTAGGTAGACAGACATAAATATACGCAGACCAGGGCTTAAGGTGTTGCCACACTGTCGATAAAACGTGTCAACAATTTTATTCTATACCTACTAGCTTTTCGCCCGAGGCTTCGCCCGCGTGGAAATGGCAATGCCAGATTTTGTATGGAAAGTGGCGTCTTTTTTTTTTCGCGTGGCCATCGACCAAACTTTGTTTTTTGATTACAAAATAGTGTAATAAACCAAACTTACTATGGCATGTATACCTCTTAACTCAGTCTGAACTGAGTTACGAGCATTAGAAGTTTGATTATTTTCATACTAGATTTGCTTTTTGTGCGCAAGTTTTGTAAGAAATTGCAACAAAATATTGCGCTATTTTTTTATTGCGCTGATTCTGCTCCATACTGATGTCTGGTGCCTTTAATGGATGATATTGTTTGTTTACACATACAATCTCACTATTTTGTTGCAATTTCTTACAAAACTTTGCGCGCAAAAAGCAAATCTAGTATGAAAATCATCAAACTTCTAATGCTCGTAACTCAGTTTAGACTGAGTTTAGAGGTATACATGCCGTAGTAAAACTTTGCGCGCAAAAAGCAAATCTAGTATGAAAATCATCAAACTTCTAATGCTCGTAACTCAGTTTAGACTGAGTTTNCTCGTAACTCAGTTCAGACTGAGTTTAGAGGTATACATGCCATAGTAAGTTTGGTTTATTACACTATTTTGTAATCAAAAAACAAAGTTTGGTCGATGGCCGCGCGAAAAAAAAAAGACGCCAATTTCCGGCATTGTCTTTTGTCTGTCACAGAAGAACTAAACTTTATCGCGCGCGTCCCTGTTTCAAAAACCAGGATAAAAACTATCCTATGTCCTTTCTCGGGGCTCAAACTATCTCTATGCCAAATTTGATCAAAATCGGTTCAGTGGTTTAGGCGTGAAAGAGAGACAGACAGACAGACAGACAGACAGACAGACATAAAGGCAGTTACTTTCGCATTTATAATATTAGTATAGATCCTGAAGAAGATTATGAGCTAGATCTTCGACCTATACGGCAGGAGCCTCCATTGTGACTGGACTATCTCTTTATTGTTATCCAGCGACCGCAGCTTGGAGATATCTGTGGACGAAAAAAGTTGAGCGTTTAATAAGAGTGTAGATCAAATCTACCAACCAATCCATCAACGTGGAAAGCAGGCCTATGTTCAGCAGTGGACGTCCTATGGCTGAAATGATGATGATGATGATGAGATTAGCCCGCCCAGGGTGCCAAGCATCAGGGGGTGACAACAGTCGCGCAGATTAGTACTCACTGGCGCATCTGCATAACAATGACGGTCATGATATGTCATGATACGAGGGGGGGGGGGGGGNAGGGCGATTGGTATCATATACTCATTTGTACTAACAGCTTTCATCTTCGAATGGGTAACCCAAAAATCCTGGGTGGCACCAGACCATTCTGGGACCCCCCACTGTTTAAGTATCGCCCCGGGTGCCAAACCATGCTACGCCGCCGCCACTGAGTGAAGATGTCCTTACATACTATATTGACAAGGTAAATTAAATATCTTTAATGTTGTTCACTCGTAGAATGTTCTTACCTTTATCTAAGGAGAAGTTATGAAGTAAACTCTTGAAAGCTTTGGCTGGTACAGCCATGTTGATGTACGGGTAGCAGGCTCCTGTCTGCGTTCTGGTGTTACTGACGATGATGCCGAGGACCTCTATCAGGGACCTGCTCTTGGTCAGCCGGTATATGGGCCCCCCACTGTGGGTGATCAAGAAAACAAACTCTTCAACTAAAACGGTAATAATATCATAAATATAACCGTGGCTTCAAATTTCATTCATGTTGGAATTGGGAAGTATTATATTTTCTTTTTTAAGTAAAAGAGTCTAAAATAACATCCTCATTTTGACAATAAAACAAAACAATAATGAAACCGAAAAGTAGATCCAAGTTTTTGATTGGTCAATGTATTGGAATTTTAACATTAACAAGCAAAAAATAGAAATAAAGAATTAATTAGTAGTTTAAATCATAAAATTAACTGAACAAAAAAATAATAACGTGTTGTTTACTCAAAAATAAAAACGTGTCCGCGAGGCAAAGGATGGCCCTTTTTTTGTTCAAAGGCTAAGTAGGTCCTTGGTTATTTCGATTTCAGACATGTCCTTGTCCAGAAGTACCTGAAGCCAGACTGTATGCAGCACGAGGTCTGCAGCATGGAAGGAGACACGTTGTTGACGTGGCCTGACGTCACCGTGGGCTTCAGGTCGTCGAGGTTGCCCTCGTTGTAGTAAGGGTAGCCTGCTGCGAGCACCGACTCCCCTAAAAGATATAAAGGTCAATTATTCTCTGCAAACGGGGTAAAAAAAGCCCTTCCTCACACATCTGGAAAAAAACGTAAATGGTCATCTTCGTTATGTGAATCATGAGTGTAGGTCAATGAAACAAAACAGAGAAATCTCACGAGATGGAAAATACATGATACATGACCCTTTATACGAGAGTACGGAACGTGTAAAATGCAGGAGTATTCTGTGGTGCGTAAGTGCCCTGAAATGGGTCAAAAAGAATTTGAATTGTCCTTCAAGTGGTCGGCCGTTTGGTGTAGTGGTTCGGAACGGACTACTATTCCGAGAGGTCCCGGGTTCGATTCCCGGCCGGGCAGAAATTGAAATGATGAATTTTAATTTCTGTGATGGGGCTGGGTGTTACTATAATATATTAAGTATGTACAGGCCTGTTCATCTCCGCGAGTTTACATCGAAAACAAAACACGCACGATGGCCCCCTACAGCCCTACAGGATTACTATTAGAGAAGTAGAAGCGTAGTGTAAAATGTCCAGGGATATTTATATTTATTTACTGATGATATGACAAATCACCTTTTTCCACAGCATCGTCAGCAAACACAGCTGGTGTGAGGTGGCCCCAATGCTGTGGGTTGGTGTAGAGCAGCGCCAGGTCATAAGCCTTGTCGTCTGTCGTCTTGTACCGGACTATTGCCGTCTCCTTCACGCCGCGGCAGTAGAGGGACACTTTGTTACTTGCGTACTGTGGAATAGACCAATATTGATTTATAATGTGATATACTCAAAAGCGGCCTGCATCTATGCTTGCATCCAGCGCCTTCCTTCTACCTTTATGAGGTCGTACCGACGACCTCATAAAGGACAGTGTGGACCGCCACATTGTAGGTGGACGTTCTACGCTGCGCTTTCCGGTACGTGGCCTCCACTCCAGAACCTTCCACTTAGCCGCTACCAACCGGCCATTGTGGAAATCATTCGGGGAGGCCTATGTTCAGCAGTGGATGTATTGTGAAATGATGATGATGATGATGATGATGATGATGATGATACTCAAAGAGAATTGATTTTTGTCAATTTGGATCTTTTTGGCATCGCCTTCGATCAGCCTTTTAAAACTGCCTTACATTCTGATAGTAAAGAAAGAAAGTTAGTACGCTACTTTAAAGCATTGTATCACGTGTGTCATGTTTGTTAGATATCTACTTTAGCAACAGCAGTTTACTTAGGTAAAAGCAGGAACTAGGGATGTTATGGATATGTAGTTTCGGTTATGGATACGGTTACGGATATCTGTGCTTTAGAATGCAATTTGAAATAGTTTTCCAACACGGTTCATTCATGGCCGCACACTTTACATCGAATAAAAAGTAATAAAAAAATAAAAATGTACTAGATGGCATTATAAAGGTAAATCAGGCTGTTATGCCTTTACATTTATAATGCTATACAAAAAAACAATTTTTAAACTGCCTACGTCCGAAACTACCCGAAAATTTGAATCGGTTACGGTTACGGTTTCGGATATTTTTTTATTTCGGATATCCGAAAGTTTCGGTTACGGTTAAGGATATCTGATTCTATAACATCACTGGCAGGAACTAATATCACATTGACTTGGACTTACTTTCTTAACGACGTGTGCGCAGGTGAGGACGAACCCGGAGCCCACGTACACCCCCGCGCCCCACTCCCCGCCGCACCTCACCAGGACCGTCGTGCTGTCGATACGCTCTGAGGAACAGTTAAATGGTGAGGAAACGATACATAACCATGGTTCACTATTTGCTTTAAAAACATCTGAATGAGTGTATCGCTGGTCTGAAGTGCACAATTCACATAGCAGGTTGACTAGAGCGTCTCCGTTGTGTTAAAAAAATCTTTCCGAAATCCATTTCTGTGTTTAGGACATGCAGTTTTACCAGCAGATATCAGCTTTTTAGGTAGGTATTCAGTGCCAATAAAATTAGTCTCAAGATAATACCACGACAGTCAACATTTTTTTGTTCCATTGGTGGTAAACCTGAACCTTTACGAATGTTGCTAGATTTCAATGTGATTAAGGAAATTCTTTGTGTGCCTAATAAATAAATAGGTGAATAAGAAGTTCCATGGAGAAGGCAAACATATGATAAGGGGAGTGTAGGCTAAATCTTTTTCTGCTGGACATAAGAGAGCGTGTGCTGTAGTGCTCTAGCAATGGAAAGGAAATGGCCCGATGATGATGATTACAGTTAGTGGGAATACGGGATGTATTCCTGTACACCTATCTTTTCTGTTAAGCTTCGACCACACCAACGCGTGCAGATCGCCATCGCCGGCGCGATCATAGGCCAATGACATTTCGCGTGACCTGTCATTGGTCTGATCGCGCTTGCAAGCAGTTGCAAGCTATGTATATTAGGGACGTATTTAAGTGCCCTAAAAAGGGCGTATGTACTGAATAAACTATTTGAATTTGATGGCGATCTGCATGCGTTGGTGTAGTTGAAGCTTTAATCATATTTGCTCAACATGGCAAAAAATTGGAGTGGTGAGATAGTGGCGTCCTCTTGTCAATATTTTGATTATTATTGTTTTCTTCTGTAATTTAAAATCCCATCAAAAACAATACTTGACAAAAAAAAACAAGTCTCGCAACTCAGTTGTTCTACGGTAAAAAGTTGTGAGATCCATGTAATACCAAGTCCAGGCCAGGAAATCTTTAACGTTTTACATAAATATATTGACTTGGCCATCGCACTAAATAATTTAATTTACACGTGTTTTCATGCGATGGCCAAGTCAATTTATTTATGTAAAACGTTAAAGATTTCCTGGCCTGGACTTGGTATTACATGGATCTCACAACTTTTTACCGTAGAACAACTGAGTTGCGAGACTTGGTTTTTTTGACAAGTATTGTTTTTGATGGGATCTCATTTCTTTTTGTATTTTGTAGACAGCAGTTATGTATCTAGAAAACTGGACCGAAATTGAAAAATTTTACTCGACTTGGCGGTTGCACTACCGTGCCCCCAAATATTTTAGTTTTTCCTTGATTCATACACCAAACACTACTTATATTCCAAATTTGAAGCTTCTAGGTCTGCTAGAAGTGCCTTAGAGTTTTGATGATCGGTGAGTCAGTGAGTGACAAAAATAAGTAACTTTGACCCGTTATAATTCTTAAACTACTGGTTCAAATTGAATGAAATTTTAAATATACCGTGTCTTTACAATGCCTGCATAGCTAATGAAAATTCAGCCTTCTAGTTTTATCCACAACGAAGTTACAGGCAGTCGAAAATGGCCTGAATTGCTTCGAGAAAAGGATGGTACGGCCGTGCCGCTTTTTTGCTCGACTTGGTGGGGGCACTGCCGTGCCCCCAGATGTTGGTTAGAGAGGCTCCCGCTGAAAACCAGCGTCGGGGCACGCGTGCATGCACGCGTGGCTCGAATAATGCTGAGCGGGCGCCTTTTTGGCACAAAATATGCGTGTATAGTTTTAAGTCCCTTTGTTCTGTTTTTTATTTTATTTTTGTGTCGATAAAGTTTTTCTTATTCTTATTCTTAATCTCACCAAGTATCTCAGCGTGTGGATGCGAGGGCAGCGCCCTCATGACCTTCGGCGGCGGGACCCTCAGCTTGGCAGACAGCACGGACACCAGCGGCGCGGCCAGCGTCAGTCCCACCCACTCGCCACGCCACCATGATACGCTGCATACTATGCAGCCGATCAGCTCCTTGCTAAGGAGAAAAATAAAGGGTTTAACTATCGGGAGAAAATGTTTCAATCATGTGAGTTAGAACAACACTGGAAACTACAAGCCATCATAAATGGCTCGATATAACTGTAGTAGGCTGTGTGATAGATATACCGTTACAAAGCCCTTAGATTAAAATATTCTTATTGGTGATTCGACTTACCTTCCTGCAGAGATCTATAAAAGAGAAGAGCTGTGCAAAAACATAATAATATCTATATGCAAATATTCCGCCAGGAATCTACCTTCTGTCTATCTGTCCCAATCCCATAGCAGAGTCATGTGTGAGAAAGACTGGCTGCAATGAGTATACATGAAAACTTTTTTTTGGAGTAACTTATGACCCTTATAGGTACGATTAGTAGTTCAAAATTAGCCATCCTAATTATCTTAAGAGTAGTCCTTGTATTAGTAGTTTGATTGTAATCGTATGCTACAATCATCACTTACGTAGGCCCTTCAGTAAAGATAGGCCCGCCTTCAGAGCCCAGCGCTGTTCCCGCGTCGGTGAGCAGAAGCGAAGGCTTCTTACCCACAATACCACAGATGGAGCCCCTCGTTACCGCGTTTAGAAATACCTGTAACAAGATAATAATTTAATAAAGCCAGTTGTAAGGCTGCCGTGACACAAGCACAGCTCAGTCCAGCAGCCGCTAGAATAAGCTTGTCTGTGAATCCTTTTCTTTTTACTGTATACCTACTTTCCACTTAAGTTTGTACGTTATCCAAAGCTATTGTTACAAAATATTGTTTTTTTTTTTTTATTTCTTAACTTTTACAACTTTATGTGAGAAATAAAGATCTTAAACCACAAGTTTTACCTACTGAAAAACATGTAGGTAACTTTTATTCTATGCATTTTTATTTCAGTAAAATTATAATTTCAAATCATTGTTTTAACTTGTAAGGGCTCATGCAACTTTAAATCTATTTTTTTCGGTGGAAACTTCATACCTCACAACCGAAAGGTGTAGAGTGAACCTCCACCGATGACCCCCGCTCTGGAGGCGGCCGCACCATATCCAGTAACTCTGATAGAGGCCTTAGCGTTTTCAGAGCTGTAACAAAAAACCTTGTCATAATCTGTTCAGCTGTTCGGGACCTATGATATGCCACACTTAGGGCTATATTTCACCGGGATACCATGGCGGCGCAACCAGTCGCCGGCTACCAACAAAATGTATGCAGCTTTGCGCAACCAAACGGACACCAGGTGAGTAACTCTCTATAGAGCTGTATACATTTTGTTGGTAGCCGGCGACTGGTTGCGCCGCCATGGTGTCCCGGTGAAATATAGCCCTTATACTTGTGTTGATCGACTCAACTTTTGCTGCATGATTTCTATTGCTTTGTATATAACCTACTACAGGTTAACTCATTGTTAATTTCCATGTAAAAAACCAAATCACAACATTATGACTGAAGTGTCAAATTTGGCATGACTGTCAATATTTGTTGTGCACGCGACACGAATTATTTAGTAAATAATTGAATTTTAGTGGATTTTAGTATTTTTTTTCATTATGTCTTCGGCATGTGAATGTCCCCCTACCCGCAATTACTACAGGTACTACGACACGCCTGATGGATGTGATGTGATGAAGAAGGTTAGACAAATTCTATAGATCCCATGTAACATACCTGGAGAAGAATGGAGAAGAAATGTTCTTTTTCTAAAGCTACAGAAATGAACATGATTTCTAGCAATAGCTTCTTAGCTATTGCCAAAAGCTTTACGTCTTGTGGTCCGTCCTTTGCTATCAAATCTACACACCGATCTTTACAAATAAAAAATTATATGCATGATTCTTCTAGCCAAACTTAAATTCATTCATATTAGTAAGGTAACGCATGCTTTTTAGAGCACTTGCATTTCCCAAATAAAGCTTGTCCTACGGTTAACGCGTGTATCCGCGTCATCAACGATGGTTGACGAACAATGTACCATCTTCATCAGTAGATAGAGTCAATTTAGTTACCAGATTTTTTGTATTAAGATGTTAATTATAGAGACGTGTTGTACTAGGAGTAATTTCAAACTTTATTTAATAGATAGTTCTTATGAACTGTTTTACAGGCGATGGTGACCACCAGATACGGGGTCGTGGCCGGCGTAATTCTGTCCACGTACGACGTGATGATATACTCGCAGCCTTTAGGCCTTGTCAACGTGCTGAAAAGGTATACTGAATCCTTTAAAATAGATTAAAGAAAAGTTACACAAGTATTTCTCTCTCTGTGACTCACGCAACTTTGATTTACCTACTTATCAATAATAACAAAGGATGAGTGGAGGTGAATGTCGAATAATATTAAGTTCGCCTTTGTTGTACTCTAATTTAATGTAATGTAATAAAATATAATGCACCTTCAAAAAAGCTTTTTCACCATACAAAGAGATTATCCTTTTCACTACTTTTTGTCCCACCTTCTAAGATTTCGACTCCAAGATCTTCTGTCGCGGTGTGTTTAAGTAAGTATCTAAATTTTAATTTATTCATTTACTCAGGTACATGGTTCATACCGTCCCCCTGGGGCTGATGGGCGCTACGTTCGCTTTTGTTGCCAATGGAGTTCAGAACCTCAGGCAAAAGGACGATATTCTAAACTATTTTATTGGTAAGAAGATTCATTTTTAGATACGAATTTTCTAACTTTCTTTCTGACTTCCCTTTGAAAGTCAGTCCACCGCCCCTACCTTTCCAGACGCAAAATCTCCCAATACGTTATATCATTAAGATTTTAACCATGCAGTCAGTCGTCGTTTCGGCCAAATGACATTCACTGCTGGACAAAGGCCTCCCGCAAGGATCTTCACAAGACAGGTCCCGCGCCACCCGATCGATCGTCCTTCACCAGATCGTCGGTTCACCTAGTGGAGGTCCTGCTCAAACTACGTTTTTCGGCCCGTGGTCACCACTCTACAACTTTTCTGCCCCAGCGGCCATCAGCTCTGCAAGAGTGCAAGCTATGTGCCCGCCCACTGCCACTTGATTTTAGCAATCCTGCGGCCTGCTATTCAGACTTCATGAGGCGATAATTAAGCGTCTAAAATGGGCCAACTTCTAAAAACATCTCACATCATCAGGTGGATACGCCTGCAGCCCGTTCCTGGCCTGGTACGTGGGGTCGAAACACGCGCTCTTCGTAGGCGGAATCCTGATGGGGACAGCGGCGATGGTGAAGAAGCTCGGTGTGGACCGTGGATGGACCTTCATTCCCCAAATACCAGGTCACATGAACACGGTGCGGAGCTGGAGGAACGATTGGAGTCTGGCCGTCGATCCTAGAGACGGTGAGTAGCTTTTGCTAACTTTTATTCTTCCTAGCACCTCAATATCATCATCATCATTTCAGCCATAGGACGTCCACTGCTGAACATAGGCCTCCCCCAATGATTTCCATGTTGATCGATTGGTAGCGGCCTGCGTACAGCGCCTCCCTGCTACCTCAATATGCAATGAGTAAAATGGTATTTTGATGATCGGAATGATACAGAATGCAATAGGTACCTTGAATTCGGAACGTTTCCAGTCATAAACGACAGTAATTAGAGCTTATAAAACGACTGATTAAGCTTAATAGTCGACCCTAACGTAATTTAATAGTGTTCAAATTGTCGTAGTCTGGGATTACGCATGTAGAGTATATTAAATGGAAGATCCTATGACGGTCAAGAAACATGGCCATATGGCTCATAAAGTCTAGTTGGAACCAAGATTGTACTAAAGTTTTACAAAGTTATTTATCAAGTTGAACAAATTCCTGATGGAAGTTATATTTAACCTCAAGTCAGTTTCCAAAAGAATTTCATAATCAAAAAACAATGCTTTCCTAAAATAGCGCACCAAAGTTATTTGGAAGTTTTCGCGGAATTTCAAAACTTGTTTGTTCTTCTTCTTATTGCGACGTGCTCCTTTGTATTTCCATTTTGCTAATCGACCTTTTGACGATATTATCTCCTTTGTTAAAATTCTAAATTCTTATCTTTAAAATACCAATTTTCAAAACTTTCGGTACGATTACGATTTTACGCCCGTATTCACAAGCATTATGAAGTCTCATAGTGCACGTGGACGCACAGGGTGACATACGAACCAATCACAGAGCTCTATTCAACGTTGTGCGTTCGATTTTCGACTTAAGCAAGCATCGTTTGTGAATACGGGCGTAGTCTCTTCAATACGAAATTTTTCACACAAGTGGTTTTTTCCTACAAGAACTTGTGGTGGCAGCTCTGGCCTAAAATGTGGCTTCACTATAGCAGCTCATGTAAATTTAATTTAAGTGGAACTAGTACTAGACTGACGGCACATCCCGTCATGTGAGACCGTATTAATTTACGCAACTGTCCACAGACATGATGCACACCTGCGGCCAAACCAAAAAGTAACCTTCCGGAATCTTCCATCGAATTGAGATGATAGTGTTGTGATTATTATGGTAATAAATCGGTTTTTTGATAAACAGATGGTTTTAATAATTTTTAAATTCGACTTGTTGATGCTAATCTACCTTTTTGACGTCTTTCTTAACATGAATGTAGGTATGTATTTCGCACTCACGGACCTCTCATATTTTTATAGGCAAAAATAAATCAAATCCCGTATACACCTGAAGTTGACGTTACCATATCACAGGATGGAAAAATCGCTATGTGCAATTTGATGGCAGGGTCAAGTGGCCATCTGACCTTACAAAAATAATTGAACAACGACGCATATTCTTTGTAAGAGCCCTATTGCAATTTCAAACTGTCTTGCTCAAAATAAAAATAATTCACAGTTGAAAAACTCAAAAACCAAACAATCTTGGCTGGCCAGCCTTCTTCTTCGAGTTCTTTTGAAAATCACGATGAAGTATGAAGAATCGGCCGATACAAAATCGGTGCTATGTGCGCACTTCAATACATGCCCATACTGATTAACAGCCCGACCAAACTATCGGCCGAGAAAAAATCTGTAGCGGGGATTCTTCGGGTTTCCCTTACCTCTGTCATCGCTCTCGAGGTCAACCAGCACGAAGACTGATAGCAGAGCCTTCCCAAGCTGCGTCTGCTTCTCTACGTCCCCGTCCCTGTGGCCGATGGTCCAGGAGTACAGGATTTCGTCCACACACCTGTCCAGGATAGGGCACTGCCAGACGTGGCATATCCTGCAAGTTAGGAAAAGTAATATAGTTACCATTAAGGGACTAACAATAATATTAATCTGTGTGTAAAATAACTAAAGTGGTGCCTATATCCTTTAAAATACGACAAATGACTTTTTTGAATTCGGTAAAAAGGTAGAAAAATTACGGCAATAAGGTAAATACCATGATTGATTGGTGCCAGCAAATGCGGCAGGCTAGCACCGACTCCAAAAATGTAGTAGGAATTGAGGAAATGCCATGAATGCGTAATGAATAACTTACGACATTATTTTTATTTCTTCTTATTACTATGTATTTTTGAATTTCTCTAATTTGTATGTCAGCAAGTCGAAACTGCTGAACTGAATCCGGACCTTTTCAAGGCGAAAGTGAATAGGCACATACAGGGCAGATGTGTACCATCCTAGACTGCATCCCACTTAACACCAGGTGCGATTGTGGTCGAATACCTGCCTTGAAATGGATAAAAAAAAAACTTGGATAATAATATTCTCACCTGCCAGTCAGCACTCGCATATTATAACTGCTGTGTTCGAAGTCGACATCATTGTCCAAGTTCCTCTCTCTGCTCAGCCTCTCGACTCCTCCGTACAGGCCACTGCTATTCGTCCTTTTCTCACACGTGACGTAGATTTCTGGCAGGTTGTTGTAGAACTCCTCATTCAGAATCGGTTTCCCTTTCAAATTAAAAATGGTTTGTTGATCAGACTACAATTGGTCCATGGGTTAGCAATAAAAATATAAAACTTACGACAAGGGCCATCCATTTACGTCACAACATAAGGGAGGTGGTTGACGAAGTGTGGCATTGTGTGACAATTGAGTGGGAGGGGTGCCAAATTTCGTGACGTCACATTTAACAAAACAAAATAAGGAACTGCTGTTTTAATTGAACAACCATTTTAATATGTAAAATATGACACGTCACACTAGGGAGCAGGTTGTCTCACACAATGTCACTATCAGTGACAAGGAGGAGGGAGGGGGTTAAAAATCAAATTCGTGTGACGTAATTTATTGATGACCCTCCAGCATAATCAAAAGCCCTTTACAGTCGACAGCTGGACTATGAGCCTCCTATACCTATGGCAGGCGGGTTGGAGATCGCAGTTAGTTCGCAGGGTTAGTATCTTACGTAATTATTTTAATTCCATTGTGTCATGTACCTTTGGTCTTCTGTATGATGCTGGCCTGCTGTAGAGGCGAGAGGATGGACCCGTGGGTGAGGACCCAGCGCTTGGAGAACCTGATGCCTGATGCGGAGACTGTGAGAATGTTCGCGTGCTCCTCGTCTTCGGAGTAGTTGTAAGATACCATTACGCCTTCGACCGACATGTTTTATCTAAAAAAATGGGATAAATAATAAGTATTTGATGAGGTCTTTTGAACTTAGTTTAGAATAGTTTCTGTCCATCCAAATTGTGACTGCATAAATTAATATCATTAATCAATCCTGGTGATAATATACTGCTAATACTTATTGACCATAGCCAAACAATTAACCCAAGAAATTAAGAAGGAAGAGCGTCGAAGTCGCCCGCCAAGCGAAAGGTCGTGGGTTCGATTCCCGCCTTAGGCAGTTCCAAGAAATTATTATGATTCACATTATAAAAATCTCCGAAAGACAATAATATCTTGCGACTAAATGGAAGCAACTAACACATCGGAATTTGTAAATTCAAAGCTAAATAATGTAGCTACTGACGGCCGATGGGGCAGCAAGGTTCTGGAATGGAGGCCGCGTACCGGAAAACGCAGCGTGGGACACCACCTACAAGGTGGACTGACGACATCGTAAAGGTAGCAGGGAAGCGCTGGATGCAGGCTGCTACCAATCGATTAACGTGGAAAGCATTAGGGGAGGCCTATGTTCAGCAGTGGACGTCCTATGGCTGAAATGATGATGATGATGAATGTAGCTACTGTGGTTTAGATGAGCTGTTCTAATTTTTATAAGAATTAATTTACATTAGACTTAATAAATTAGACTAATTAGATTAAATTAGGCGAATTTAAAGATCCTCGTGTGTTTCGACCGCGACCGTTTGTAGATCAAGGCTGGCACTAGACCTAATAACAATGAAATAAATACAAATTGATGATTCGATGGTCCAGGGTTACATCCATCAGTTAAAACTGACATTGCTATCTGATTTATTAGCGCTACTATGTAACTAGAAGTCGCTAAAGTTAGTTTAATTATTGCATAGTAACAGACAAGTAAGATAATGATCAAATCAAAGTAGGTCACAGTCATATCGCAGAATAAAATAAATTTGAAAAACCTTGATTTACTAGAATGCACTCATTAATAGAATTTGTTTAAATCGGGATTTTGTAATTAGTGTGACAGTTAGATCTGATAAATTACTTTTTATTTTTAAATTACTACAAAAGATGAGATTTTATTAAGCTTACTTAGACTGATTTGCACCATGTTACTTTAACAGTAACTTATCTGTAACCATAACTATAACTGGTGCTTTTTGTATGGAGTTTGACAGATTTTTTACGTTTTTTCAGTTAAACTCAGCCTTATGCCCGTTTTCACCATCAATCCCTAATTTTTAAGTGACCCCTATGCCTATGGAAATTTATAACAGGAATTTTGTTTACATAGGGGTCACTTAAAAAATAAATAGGGATTGATGGTGAAAACGGGCATTAGTCTAAAAAATAAAGTAAAAAATTGATTTCGAGGGTTCCTAATCCCAAGTAAAGACAGGGCGGGTCGCTATATCCTAGTTTGTTACATTCTGTAAATAAATAATTTCATTTCATTTCATTTGTTATTTAGTAATGTATAATAACATTTAGTAACAAATCCGCGTTTAATGACTCAAGTGGCTCTTAATACGGTCAATTTGTTGGAATTCAAGAAATCCAGTGTTATCCGGTTATTCTGTGTTATCTCTGCCGCTATCGCCGTGTCAATACTGATTCGAGTTTTAACCACTTCCTACTTTATTTTTATCACTTGAGTGCACGTGTTTATTAAAGTATACATACAATCAGTTTAATGCTTTGTTTATAAATAAAAGTTTTTTATTTAAACTCGCACTCGAAGTGTTCAGGTATCTTACAGGAACAAGAGGATACCAAAGCTATTTAAAACAAATCAAACAAAGGAAAAACGCCAATCTTAATTATTAATATTTTTACGCAAATAGCTATTTAAAATGTTTTTAGTACTAGGTTTAAGTTTCGTAATACTTATACTTACTTAAATTACTTATTATGTCTTTTCTTATGAACCTCCCTAGGGGTTAAATTTTAAGAGAAACTTAATTGTAGAGTCGCCCTCGAGTCTCTAAGCTCTGCTTAGTTTTGAGATAGGTAATTAAAGCAACTAAGTACTTATGTCTATAATAATACCTATCTACTTGGTTCAGATAATAAAAAATAGTGAGCACAAAAATATTGTTGAAATTCAGCAACCTTCATAAAACTTTTCACACAACTAACTCCGTAATTCACCAGATTGTGATAGCAGACAGAAAGTAATTTTCAATGAATGCATAGAAATGATCAGTCCATTGACGTGGGTCGTCTCCTTGAGGCTGTATACTCGAATATGCCTTTGGTTGTCACAATAAGAAAAAACAAACACCCGTACTGTTTTTCTTGGTAACTTTAAAAAAATGGTCCAACAAAAGCAGTGACACAACCCTGCTGTTGCGATACGGTCGCTTTTCCGTCGCAATCGGCGGTATCGTGGTACAGGCGAAAATGATACCATGAAAAAGGGGTGGCATATTACAAATTTGCGCGACATAAACCACTCCCATACAATGATAGGATGAAAGTAATGAACACATTCAGCGGGTGGTAACGACACAATTTGATCTGGTATAAAAGATGCTGGCACCCTGAACGTCCAACCGCTTTTTTTGCGCCGTCGAAGAAGGCGCTCGCGTTCTATTTTCGAAATATTTTTTCTCGTGCTTTTGTTTTTTTTACTGTTTTGTGCCAGTGCATCTTTGAAGGTATGTTTATATCATAAAGCTTTTATTTTTTTAAATTCCAAGTAGGTATGCAATACTTAAACACAAATTCGAGATTGAGGCTACAGAGACAAAATACACAAAGCAGTTTTTTTTTTAATTTTGGGTAAAAATTAAAACGGGATCGCTTTTAAATTATTAAGTAGGTAATTTTAATGATTTTGAAAGTAGGTAGGTGTAACAAACGAGTGCATCTAATGAACTTTACACCACTAGATTGTCAAAAAACTACAGGCTGTTTTCATTTCCATAATACCGCCATGGAAACCTACTTCAATGAATAATTTCAGTTGCTAACTTGTATTGGTAAATTCAAGACATCTTAGAGTGTTTCATGTACAGGCATGGCATTTCAGGGGAATAGTTCATGCATTAAAAAATAATAAGTTGACTTTTTTGAAAGTATGGATGGTAAAAGTCATCGCAAGTAACTGATACAAAATTTCGTCGCTGATATTCAAGTTTCCGTAGTGTAGCGGTTATCACGTGTGCTTCACACGCACAAGGTCCCCGGTTCGATCCCGGGCGGAAACATTAATTATTTTTCCTTTTTTTTTTCTCATTATATAAATATTTTTATTTCTTTGTATTTTTCTATGTGTTAATTCACAAAAAATAATAATATTTTTCCTAAATCTAATGTCACAAGTACACAACATTATGAAAATCCGATTTTTTTACGGCCAAAGTATATCAAATAGTTCATGTAAATAATAATGGTGGTTACTAGTTAATTTTAGGTTTAACTGGTTTAACCTAAATCAGAAAAAAATAGATTACGAAAGTTTAATTTAATTTCTTATCTCCCATAAATAAATATCAGTTACACACAAAAACATGCGCATTTAATTTATACAATGCAAAAATAAACAAGCAATAAAATATGCACTTTATAATTTTTAAGACTTTTCTTGTAAAAAAAAACATTTTTGCAAACCGAAGTCATTTCAAACTAATATTTTCACAAAAAATGTCAAAATAATTCCTTCGAGCCGGATTTGAACCAGCGACCTATGGATAGCCATGTTTATAACCTCTACAGTCCACCGCTCTACCAACTGAGCTATCGAAGGTGATGACTGTGGTGCCGAAATTGCGAATCACCCAGCACGGCAAAAAATTAGGCCAGTAATCCGAAAATTGGGGTGCCTATTATTTTTAGACGATCAAGGAATTTACTATAACGGAAAAAAATATTGCAATAAAAATAAATATAAAATGTCACTCACATTTAAATAATAACACGAGCTCGTCCCACGAAACATAAATAAAGACTAAATGGATGCAAATATGTTATGTATTTAATAGTTTAACGTAAATAAAATGGCAAAAGCCACTGATGTCATGAGGTGAGCGAACTGTGACCGGTGTCCAGCTAAATCGAACTATAGAGTGCAGTACGCCTGTGTTTAATTGCGCATTCCAACTACATAACAAAGAAATAAAGAAAAAATATTTATTTGGTACCAAAAATAAAAACAATACAATGCAGTTTCATGTGGCTGGTTATGGTCACAATCTCACTAAATACCTAACTAACGTGGCTTTTTAAGGGCCAGAAAGCTTTTTCTTCCGTAGTTAACTCGACCAGGGTCAATTATAATGTTTAAATATCAGTCAAACGTGTTTTAACACAGCACCTTAAAATTACAAAGTTATTGTAGGGTTGGTTAATGTTTATCTCATTTACAACCAATCGTTTTTATTTCCTATGGATTTTAGATATCCTTTATACCATAAACTGCCCCGTAAGTTTCGTAACTCTTACACTTTTGTAGATAATTAAGTACCTACTTAGTTTCATCAATTTGACACGGTGTATTTAATTTAATTTGCTTTGGTTCACCGTGACCTCTGAAATACGATGATTAACTGCGTACCCAAGTGTTTATCTGGCAACCGTTCAATAATAGGTTTATCTTTACCTAGTAAACTAGTGGATGTTATACTTATTTTGAATGCATCATCATAACAAACCATAGCAAATATTATGACATTGCATGCTTTATAGTTTTCTTTATCAAAAAGAAAAAGTTGATTCGGTTGGATCGTTTTGTGCTGCTCAAATAAGTATTGTTTTTGTTATTATATTCATCTCATGATAGCGTCATTTCAATTATTTATCAATAAATGTCTTTTTAAGTTACAAATTTGCAACATAATTTACTTTCATTACTCAGAAGCTCTTTATGTTGACCTGTACTTATATATTTCAACTAATCCAGTTGTTTATATGCTCAGTATGTTATACAATTGCAAAACTAGTTTAAACTAATTAATACCTATTTACGTATCATTTAACCTACTCTTTGCCTTCTTATTTATGTAGTCTTGGATAGTGACATTAGTCAATAAAATTGCTAATCTTCTTGGATTGAGGTTCAAAGCAATTTTCAATTTCGTAAGCTTCGTTTGTAGCTATACTTACATTCAATTTTCGTGATATTTTCTTTCTGTTATAAAGTGTGAAGAGAAGGGTCTTTAAACCAATAAAAATAATCATAATGAAGCCTGTTGGGTAATTAAATGGGTTTTTATCGCGTCGAGTCCCTGGTTACGCAACGTCCGCGGTTCTGCAAGCCCAACGGAATGGAATGGGTCGTTCAACAACTTTTAGATGATTTGGTTTCGTATTTTCTGGTAGTTTTGTAGTTTTTCAACTATACAATTTTATACAATTACAATTTTATTACCATCTTAATTAGCTATGTATAAAGAAATGTTTAGCAGGAAACCCCAAGAAATTCATATGAAGGAGTGACCTGGTTCTCACATGTTTCCAATTAACGCTGACTTGTTTTTAGAGTAGGTACCTACCTAATCATTACGAAATGATATTTTGATTGTCTTAATTTAGCTGTCATTAATTAACCGTATCAATTGTCTTAATGATGCCAAGATATACTAATAGCTCGTGAACTAAAAGGCCTAGCTTTGATTGGCCGAGAGAGGTGGTGTGACTGCCGCGCCCCACTCGCCTTCGATTCATTACGCACTTCTAACCTGTCTCAGAGTTAATAAAAATTGTTGGCGAGATCAAAAGTGTGTTCCCGAACTTAGTCACATTCGCTTCACAATCTTCATTCGTCTTCTTTGGTAATTACCTATTGTGTCTTTGAGCCTTAGTTACGAAATCAAACCATTTTACTCTTAGGTAAACTAAATGCATATTCAGAAACAAGTATTTTTTATCACCAGTAACATTCAATGGTTCCCGCCATTTGCCAAAACGCTATTCTCCTTTAAAAAACTACTAGCTCTTCAGTTTGTGATTTCTATATTTTACCTAATTATTGCAATCCCACACCAAAAGAGTTAACCGTGTTACGAGTTACAGATTGTAAATTGATTGTGGTCAAACATATTTTTAGCATCGAATGTGGGATACATGTCTAGAATATTGTGACAAATGATCAATAAAATTTGTTGACCTTACTGAGTTATTGCAAGCATCCTTGATCGAATCCGAGCAAAGAACCAGGCCGACCTCACCCACCCGAAGCAAACGCATTTGTTAATTTAGACCACTCTACATAATTTGCATTTCCAGATTAAACTAGTTTTTTGTAGTGATTTAATGACTGTTCTTCATTGCCTTCCCTAAGTTTAGATTACAAAGATAACCTGTCATTAATAAAGATGTAATAAATAAGATGAGTCAGAACAAGGATGTTCAAGATCTTCCTAGATATTCCAGCGATAAAGTGATGAAGTGCCAGGAACACCCAAGTAGATCTCGTAATTCTAGGGTTCTATAGCACGTTATGTGGGCAGTACGTATCATAGTGTGGATGAAACAAATATCGGTTCCTATGTGAAACATTTAAACGGAAGCGGCCGGCTTTAGAGCTTCGCCGGTAGGTACTTAACTGAGCAATTGAACTAACGAGCGTGAGTAACCCTGGATCCGGTCCCGTGACTTGATCATTCCCTTCGGCAGGCATCTTAATGTCTTTACTCCTAAATAACGGTTATTCATTATCACTAATGACTAAGTCATGGTGCATTTGTTAACTTTAAAAAAATGCAATAACTTCCTTACTTTAAGTACCTTTACTTACATTCAGCATAGTATGACAAAGGTACGCATAGCTCCGGAAGTCGCTCGTTACTACAATTCTTGAAGACACACCCATGTTTATCACGTAACAGAGGACGTTTCCGAACTCCCAAATTCTTACTCCGACTCACACGTTTATTGTTCCCAGTCGGCAATTTAAGGAGACACTGGCACTACGATAAGCCCACGACAATACGATAATGGACGCTCTTCGCCTAATGGCTGGCATCCTGCACGGTCCAAGCGCAGTCCAGTCAATGCTAACAGTCCGATTCCCTCGCTCATCTACGTCTCATTGGATGCGTTGTCTTGGGCCGACTAAATTTTAAGCTTTCGTGTTTCATGTGATTGTCTGGGATCACGTTGCCGGTGATTGTCGACATCCTCGCGTGGGTTGAGGACCCGAGTCTCGGAGTAGCAGCGCTAGGAGCAATCGGCGGACAACGTCGGTCACGAACGATGGACGCACGTTTTCGAAAACGATAACCAAAAGCTTACGAACCTAGTGTCTGGGATGCAGTGTTGAGGATGAAATAGTGCCTGTAACATTGTACGTGTGCGGTGCGTGGTGACGGACATGCCTGAGTGTCGAGGTCTGGCTTCTAGTGTGAAAAAAAAGAAGTCACTTCGGCCGACTCGGTTGTTGAGTCACTTGAGCAGTTCCATTTGCTTGATGCGATAACATTTTAGGTGAGTCCGTTTTAAAAGTCATTAGTGCAAAGTGGTGCCGGGTATCCTTTACGTTAATGAGCATTTAGATACTTAGCTCAGTTACCGAAAGCAGGTGTGTTAACTTTTATAAATTGTTTACTTTTTGGAGTTAAAATGTGTTTTAATGCGTTGGCGATTCGTGGGCCACCTGTGAAGGTAAGCTAATGTTTACTAGTTAAGTGCTAGTGGAAAGTCCCTTCCATCTCTACAAACGATTTGTTGTCAACGTAATATCTTATTAAGGCTGATAACAGACACATGTGTCTAATGATTCAACTGTAAAGCAATAAATCGCGCTGTTATCATGTTCTTTAGAATTAGATAAAAAAAATATTTACTAAAAAAGATAAAAATAATGATAAATGAAATTATTTTCATTTAGTCCATATTTCAAATTATGTTGTAACGATTATCATTTTGATATTAGTTATGTCAACTTTTCATAATTATGAAACATTGAGCCTTGTCATAAAAAATCTAAAAAATATTCTAAGGAATATATTACTGTACAAAATGATGACGATTAATTTTAATTAATAAGAAAATAAGAAGACTCAGTAAATAAGAAATGCAAGTAAATATAATGCACAAAAGTAAAAATACTGGACCAAAACAACTTAAAATCAACTAAAGAAGTGAAGGTTCAGTGCGAAATCTCCCCTCAGACATAACAACAGCTCAATTTGATAATAAAACATTAACCTTACCTTTGGTCTTATTTGTTTATGTCTACGTTTGAGGTTATATCAGTCTCAATTTTTCCTATTGACGTGGATAGCCTATCACTTCACTTAATTTTAGTCAAAAATCACAACACAAATCCTCACAACACCATTTTGTAATATAAATACTTTATTATTAATTAAACTCATTCTAAAGTTATCACTTGTTTAGTTTAGCTACTTCATTGTCTTGTTGTTGAGCTGTGTGTATCCTACGGTTGTAGCCGTATCGTACGTACCTACTTTTAGAAGGCATCAATGAGCTCAATGAAAACCATTGCTAATTCGATGCCGCTTCGTAGAATGTAGTTCTAAAGACGCACGTTAGATGGCGCTAATTCAGTATATTGAAGGAGAAAACTAAAATTTTACTACACAAACATTTATACGATCTACTTGCAGATTTAAATTAATACATTTTTTTAATGTTACGCATTTTGACTGTCCACGAAATTGTCCACCAAAATCAGCAAGCATTGTCTCCCTACTCACTTTGAGAATGATCCTAATAAAAATAATGATTTTTTAGGATTGTAATTTTGTAATTTACATACCAAGAGACATAGCACATTGTTTTTAAATATTTTTTCAAAATATAATTTAAAAAGAAGGGCTGTAAAAAGATTTTTGGTTCAGTTTGAAACTCTGAAATGATTCAAATTCAAATTCAAAATACGTTTATTGTGAACCACAGGTACATAGGATGTTTTTCATTAATTTACTAAATTTTTACTAACTATTGTAGCCATGTAAAATTATAATTATTTTCCTCATACTTATTACCAAAAAATATTCACGTCAGAATATCCCATCGTTTCGTTTTTGTTATTTTTACTGTTATACAAAAGTGAGAACACTTTAAAAGAGTATTTTAATTAATGCCTGCTATAACCCTTTCAGGTGGCTTTTCCAATATCCTTCAATTTTCCCGCCCGTTGCATTGTAAGAATTTTACGTAACATCATAATTTCTGGAAGAAATGCTTTTAATTAGTTTGATAAATGGTACATTTTTCTTTTCTCTTCGATATTGCCGAAGACTGCTAAGTGTGAACATAATGCTGATGGCAAACTTTGAAGTTATTGGGAAAATTTCAGTTACGTGGCTATTTTCGTTGGTGAGGTATTATGTAATAGGTTTTTTTAGGCGCAAGTTTGTATAAGGCAGTGTTGACCATTAGAAGTTTCTATGGTTTACCTTTATTTAGACAGGAAGAGATAAGTACCTGTTTTTGGAATAAGTAAACAAAATATCATACACGAATCTAAAAAAGGGTTTTAAAACTCACTCTACAAAATGCACACATACAATCTTAGTCGGTCTTTTTGTTTGCAAGGTCGTGAATTTTCTCCAGCTGACTGTATAACGTGATATTTTTCAATGAAAGTGTCTTATAAGTTTTTAATAGGACAAGTTTACCTAGACGTGACTTGCTAACTATACTGAAGTAATAACACCTTCAAAGCATAATTCATTCATGAAAATATTCACGAAATACTTCGTAGTTTGATAGAAACATAACGAACCTATTTATTGTAGCTAATACAGAGTTTGGGTAAATGTAAAAGGCAATGTTTATTTTAATTAAGGTAAAGTAAGGTAAGGTATCTTTAATTCAATACCTATTCCATCAAAAACCTTTTCATGTAAAATTTTGCCATGAAGAAACCATAATAATTATAGTTCGCGCATCGTGAAAAAGTTTTCAGATCTCATGTATGTAGATCAAAGCTTATAACTCTACTCGCCCCAACTTCAAAAGCTCTAGGTACCTTACCTTAGTCAAAATATATCTCTTGGCCGTTTTGCTATCGTCACATGGGAGATAGGTGTCAGCTGAAAAATGTAATCACCGTTAATTCTTACAATAGTTCTTGAAGTAAATAAACGGCCAAGCCCTTGCACTTCGCTTGACTGGTCTTGGCTAGATCAGACCTAAATATCAGATCTTATGTCGTAATACAGCTGCAATGATGCTAGGAAAAAAAATACAACACTTTACCCTTGATTTTCTCGCAAATTGGTATTTTCCTTGCAGTAGTTCCGATTCCCATTACACCGAGTACGTCGCTCATTCACCATGACATGCATTTGTTTAATTTGTTGGAGATCAGGCGACAGTGACTCATGGAGGCTATTCAGTCGAAGCAATTAGACCCTATTTTCTTTGAACAATACCTACGTACATACAAAGTAATTATATTAAATAACATGATGCAACATTTTCTTAACTTCCCCCGTACATTGTTTTCAAAGGTTTGATAAACATTTTCAGTTTTAGGTGTAATTTCGTGAATTTGAAAATTTTCTGGATGTAAACATGAGTAGGTAAACTTTGGATTATAAAAAGCGTTTTAAAATTTTACTGGGTAGTTAGTTGACACCAATATTAAAATTCTCTAAAATCCTCTTTCAGTCCATTCCTGAAAAATCAATCTAATCAATTAAGTTGGCGATCAAAAGGCGTAAAAAAGTTCCTAAATTTTAATATCTAGCGGATCCTACTAAAGCAGACCCTAAGATAAAATTAATCAGTTTTCAAATAGGTCGTCCGTCCAGCGAGCATGTCGCTCCTCGCTTCATGTCACTTATGACGGCTCCATTCTCAATCTCAACGACTCGGGGTGATATATGACCACACATCACATGGTCTGATGGAAATGGCCACTGTAATTACCATGTAAGATGTAATTAAGAGGCGTGGTGGAAAACCACGGTTGCAGGAAGACCGACTCTTGATATACGAGCGTTTAGTATGGACTTTTAAATGTTTTGTTTGTGTTTTATGAATGCTGTAGGCATTCGTAATTCATGGAGCCGGTTGTGAAATACTAACGCCCGTATTCACAAACATTACTATGAGGTCTCACAGTGCACGTGGACGCACAGGGTGACACACGAACCAATCATAGACCTCTATTCAACGCTGTGTGTTCGACTTGCTGCTTCACTTATGCAAGTATCGTTTGTGAATACGGGCGTTAGTATTGTACAGTCACGGAATGAAAAGGTTCGTCAGTTTTCGAAAAACGACACTAAGGTGACGAACCTTTTCATTCCGCGACTGTACATTGCATTCTAGCAAATCAATGTTTTTTTTTTTTAATTTATTTCAATATATTGGATTTCGTGGCCAGTGTTGGTGTTTGTGCCGGTTTAATTTACTTTTAGCTTTCCTTTTTACTTATGCTATTCTGATTATCTAAGCTATAACATTATATTTCATCAAAATCAGTTTAGAACTAAGGTATAGACATCCATTAAGCTATATCCCTCCCCGCAACATTCGCGTTTTTTAATATTGGTATAGATTATGTAGTTTCGCGTCATACGACTTATAACACATTAAATCTATAATCTTGTTCTAATCCACGAATAGACAATATTAGAGATTAGTAGCTTGATTAATAATGTGTCCATAGATTAATTTCTAAGAACAGTGTTGACCCGGATTTAATAAAAAATGCAACTAATGCTTCTGGAATTTCTAGTTACACGTCACATCCGTACCAAAAGGCGTTAATTAGATTCCTGGAAGTCTTAAGATATCTTCCAACTTCCGGTTAAAAGAGCCTGAGAATGCGTTTTTTCTAGTTACTAAGTATTGAAGTGTCTAGGTCTAATTATAAACCCATTTAAAGTCATGCATAACAGAACTATGCTAGTATTTAGGGGAATAACTAGGTATCTTTATTATTTTCTGAGAAAAATAGATATTAAGTGGTATAAATAATTATCTATGCTTAGCCTTAGTGATGAACTGATGACAGTTCATGTCATTGTTAGCGTAGGTCTGATCATCATTCTGTAGAAGAATAGGTATATTTTTATGAAAATAAGATTCGCTTTATGAAATTACTATTCTTATAAGCCTAGGCTAGGCGCAGATCACCGACTTTTAGTTCGCCAATAGTTGGGCCCTATTGTAATTTGTATGAAGAATCGGCCGATACCAAATCGGCGTAATATGCGCAGTTTCATACATCTCCATACTGATCAACAGCCCGACTAAATTATCGGCCGACAAAAAATCGGTGGTCTGCGCCTAGACTTATATTTTTTTTTAATAATGATGGTCTAATGCCCGTTTTCACCATCAATCCCTAATTTTTACGTGACCCCTATGGTAACACATAACAGGCATTTTGTTTTCATAGAGGTCACTTAAAAATTAGGGATTGATGGTGAAAACGGGCATTATTGTCATTGTCACGTCACTTTTCGCGCCAAATAGCGCCATCTTGGTAATGAGGAACGCGCGCCATTTTGTTCCATTGAGTTTTTGGCGGTTACCACTGTTGCCAAGTAAATGTAGGCTACTTCAGGTGCTCAAAAACGAGTGCACTTTTTACTGGCGTGCCATAAATTCAGATTTAGAATATAACTGACCTTAATGCACGTGCCATGCCACGTGAGGGCATTCTTCAACGACCTCACACGCTTACAAACCACCGCAAATGTAACAATTTAATCTTTTCTTATGACTATTGGGCTAAGATACAAAAATGTGGTCATCTGCGGATGACTGTATAACCAACTAATATAACGTGTAGGCCATACGTGAAGAAGTCTGCACTAGTAACCGTTACGCTGTCAGTAACACTTTGTGACATCATTATTTTGCACAGAGCAGTTGCTTACGCAGAGAAATATGGCTTTGATACACATTTTGTGGTGCGTGAGGAAGAAGCGTTAACGTGGTAACTTTGACAGTTTATGAGCATGTGTGCAGTGTTAAGCGACGGCTGTCAAAATACTAGTAGGTAGATGAAAAAATCTAATATAAAATTATACAAAACTGATTAAAAACTCCTTATCTTTGACTTGCGTACCTAAGCAATTTTATTTCCAAATTTATTATACAGTATTACAGTAGATGGTCATTCTCCGGATCTGGATTATTTTGTTGATTACCCCGACCTTTTTTATTTTTGAATTTAGAGTAAGTTTAGGTAAAACATTTCAAAATAGACATTATTACGAGCATATTTTTTATATTGGCCCATCTGTAGCAAGCAGGAATAAAAAGTTATGCGACATCAAAATTTTCATGGTCGGGGTAATCAAAGTTGGGAGTCAGAGTAATCAAAAATAAAACAAAATATTTTATTTTCTAAGGTTTTTTTTAAGTTATGGTAAAATAAATGTTATTATAACTAGTCATTTGTTATTTTGATGTATAAACGACAATATTGTAATTTTCAAAGAAATCTGT